TGTAATGGAAACTTACGAGAACAATGCTTCTGAGTTAGGGAAAACCAAGAATTTAGCAACCCTTTTTAAGCCTTGCATTTTTTTCTTATCTCATCCTTTTGTCACTTGGCCTCATAAATATTCATAAAGGAATTGACCCAGAATAAGAGTATTCTAAAAATCTTTCCTAAGCTTTTCAGTTTTGCTATCTTGTAACAAGTAATTATTGGAATATAATCTCTGGTCAGCTATAGTTTTGTAAAACTAGAGAGTGATTTTTTTTGGAGGTTTTTTTTTTTCTTAAATCAGGATTTCAAAAATCTTAGAGCTGGTGCGGAGGGACTGGTTCAATGCCAGACATTCTCTTTAGTCTCAGATCCAAAGTGCCTGCATGTCTTGAAGCTCTAAAGCTTCAAAATTCTCTCTTATCCTGTCACCTCCCCCACATGAGAAGAATGAACGCCAAGGACGAGCTGTGACCGTAAAGTCGGGCCAACAGCCTAAATGTGGACTGTAGCACAGAATGGCAGACAGGCCTTCCAAACAGGCAGGACCTGGGGTGGCTCCTCAGCTGCACAGCAGATCTGGGGGAGGTCTGTTCTCTGTGAGACACCACCAGGCTGTATCCCACAGGATGAAGTAGCTGAGCAGTGGCAGGTCTAAGAACACACATGTCACTTCTGCTGATTTCTCCTTTCTTCCATGTAGATGCTGCAGCACAGCAGCCACCAGTTCTGTCTCCACATGACCACGTTTTGTTCTTTGCCATTTGTGCAGAAAATTCTCCTTTTTTGCCAAAAGTCTTCTTTTCTCTGGCGAATGTGTGCTGGTCAACCATTGCACGGTAGACAGTAATGGTCCTGCTTCAGACTCTTTGGCTACATGAGATAACATTCCAAAGCTGAGCCCTGGTGGCACATTTCTCTGGTGTGTTTTCTGAGGAAGCCTGAGTCTGACTGTAGGACCACTAACTTGGTATATGATCTTGGAACATAAATGAATCTCTCTGAGCCTCAGTTCCCTCCTCTGTAAGTTAGAACATTGCAGGGTCTTCCAGGAGATTTTAGACATGATAAATAAGTACCAAGTTCAGTGTACAGTATGTGGATGATGCTTAATAAATCATAGCTGCTATAATTATTTTTAACTCATTCAATTTTTTTATTAATTATGTTGGTGCATTTAAGGTATACAATATAATGACATTCATCATTGGGAATTTGCACCTTTACGTAATCCATCTTGGTTCTCATTTTTCCCCCTTCCTCTGCCCTCCCTTCAACCCCACCACCCCTCCATATCTACAAAGACTTTGTTTCCATTTTTTCTTTTTCTCATGTTAATTCCGTTCCCTTCTTTCTTTTCCCTACCCCTCCCATTTCCCCTTCTCCTTTGCACCTTTTCTTCCTATTTCACATTATCTGTTATACCTTTTAGTCCTTATTTACACTTTCAGTTTCTCACACTAGAGAAACTGTTGGGTATTTATATCTGTGTCCTATTTATTTCACTTAAGAGTATCACCTCAATGTGCATCCATTTAGCTATGAATGTCTCTAGTTTCTCATTTTTAATGGCTGAGTAGTACTCCATTTTATTCTTAAAAACCCACATTTTCTTTATCCAGTCTCCAGTTGATGGGCAGTTGGGTTGTTTCCAAGTTTTAGCTATCACAAACTGTGCTGCTATGAACATGGGAGCACATATATCACTGTGGTATGATTCTTTTAATTCTTTGGGGAAGATGCCCAGCAGGGAAATAGCTGGGTCAAATGGGACTTCCAGACCTAGTTCTTTGAGGTATCTCCATACTGATTTCCACAGTGGTTGCACCAGTCTGCACTCCCACCAACAATGGAGAAGGGTTCCTCTTTCCCCACAGCCCCACCAGCATTTGTTATTGGTTGATTTCATGATAGCAGCCATTCTTTCTGGGATGAGGTGGAATCTCAGTGTTGTTTTCATCTGCATCTCTCAAATGACCAGTGATGTTGAACATTTTTTTATATGACTGTTTGGTATTTCTACTTCTTTGTCTGAGAAATGTCTGTTCATTTCAGATGCCCAATTTTGGGTTGGGTCTTTAAATTTGGGAGGTCTGATTTTTGAAAGTTCTTTATAGATTAGATAGTAGACCTTTGTCTGAGGAACAGCTGATGAAAATTTTTTCCCACATTATGGTACTGTCATTTAATTTATACAAACTCTCATCAGATTTCCAGTTTTAACTCTTGAGATGTTTTGTTGTTTGTTTGTTGGTTGGTGCTGGTTTGTTGGTTGGTGCCAAAGCCTCACTCATGCTAACTACACACTCTATCCCTAAGCTATACCCCTGGCCCTAATATTTATGCTTTATTATTTAAGATTTTCTTTCTTTTTTTTTAATTTTGTGAGACAGGGTCTCACAGTTCAGCCTGGCCTTGAACTCACTGTGCACCCCAGGCTGGACTTGAACTCATGGCAGTCCTCCTGCCTTAGACTCCTGAGTGCTGGGATTAAGGCCTGTGCCACCATGCCTGGTAAGATTTTCTAACTGAATGGAAGTCCACTTACCTTTATATGATGCACTTTCACTCCTTATTTGTAAATATTGTCCTTGTCATTTGTTGCTAGGGGAGAAAAAAGGGTTCACATTTGATTGAAAACCAACACTGGCAGGAACAGAAGAAACCTTTCTTTTCCAAGATTGTCATTTTTTAAAAATTATTTGTTGTTCCTGAAGATAAAGAAATGGAAGCTAAACTATATTAAAATTTGCAGTTGTCTTGGTCCCATGAGTAACAACTCCAAGACAAGTATTTGTTTTTCAGAACTGTGGTACCATGGATTTCATGCTCCCTAAAGTCTCTGACCCAAGAGAATTCAATTACCTAGGCTTATGGAAGAGTTAGAGAACAATTTTCTCACTGCCTTTTACAAGCCAGTTAAGAGTGCTCTTAGCCAACCTATAGTAAGCTTCAAGTAATGTCTGTCCCTTATTCTAGAGCTGCCTCCTCCTGCATCCTGTCTAATTCCAGAGCCCTATGACTGAATTTCAAGGCCAGCCCTTCACAATGTAGTCCCCACCCACCCTCCTCTTCCGGGGCCTGTCTTCTCCTGCAGCTCTATCTTCTACGTGGCCTCCCTAAGTCTTGCTTGTGGTCATTTCAGGCCCCTTTTCAGGCCATTCCCTTCACCTGCCTGGAATCTGGGGACTGTCCTCTTAAGCGTCAGGCTGATGAGGGGTTTATTCCTTAACACATCTTGAACGTTAGCTTCCTGAGTCTGCAATGGGGATCTCAACCTTGGCTGAACATTGAATCCCCTGCAAAGCTTTAAAAAGTGATGCTTAAGTCTCATGCCTTCGAGATTCTGCCTCAGTTGCTCTGAGATGTGTCTGGTCATAAGAATAGTTTAAAGTCCCTCCAGGAGATTCAACAAGCAGCCAAGGTTGAGAACTACTGGTCTCCAAACTTGATCAATCCCCAAACTGAGCATAGGTCTAGTAATATCTTTATTTGTTCCTCAAGTGACTTGTGGATGCAGTGTTTTAAATAGTTCATGCGAGTATATAGAACATCCAAGTGGCTTTATCCTCTTTGTGTTAATTTGAAAATTCAGTTGTTAGATAACTTCAATGGAATAGTCTCAATAACTAGCCTTTATTGAGCTCATAGTTGTGGCCTGTGTGAATAACTTATTGACAACCCCGGAGTGAGCCCCAGTTTTGCCTTTTTTGATTATGAGGTTCCTGAGGTCCAGAATGCACATGCACTTACCTGGGACCAAACTTGAGCCCTGGTTCATTGGATGCCAAACCCTTACTATTTCTCTACCCTCTGGGAAGGAACACCTTAATCACACACCTTCCTGGACAGTAAGGATATATTTACTTTAAATTTGGGGTTGCACACTTTTTTAATAGGGTTGCATTCTTTTCTATATCAAAAGCTTCCATAAATTTGATTTCTGATTCACTCTCAAGTGTATATAGGGTTGGGAGGCCATGTCATAAAATAGCTTTTCTCAGCACTCAGGCAACTTTATTGTAGAAAAGCATCAACTTCTAACACCTAACCTATCCCGTCTTTTACTTTGTCTTCTTTGTTTGATTAAAGAAGATTCTGAGGTCCATAGAGAACATCAATTTTGAGGTAGTGAATAAGCAGTGATACCTCCATTTTGTAGAAAGGGGAACTCATGCCAAGTATAAATTATCTAATAACTATTAGTAAGAGCTGCTGCTAATTGGATCTTAATAAGTACAGACTCTGTGTTAAGATCTTTATATCCTGTGTATAATCCTCATCTTACGGATGAGGAAACTGAAAATGAAAAAGGCAAAGCTGCTTTTCCAGGGTGCTATAGCTAATAATTGAGCACAATGTTTGTTTGTTTTCTTGTTTGGTTGTTTTTTAACTTGCTTATGAGCAAAACTGTAAGACATAGGCTTCGTTTGCTGGTGGTGGCATCTGAATAACCATGTCTGAAATAAACCTTTGAAGCATAACTGGATTTTCTTCCTGTGTGCTGAATGGTCATTTAAAAGCTATTGTGAAACAGAAAATTTTGTGCCAACCTTGAATATCATCCGGAGGTCAAATGGGCTGTAACTATCCCTCCCCCAGGCATCTCACTGAACAGCCCTGAAGGTGAGAACTGGTTCTTGAAGCATTTTCACACTCCATCCGCCTCTGAACTCTGCTGCTTCTCACCGTTGCAAGTTGGCATGAGGACCAAGTCACTGTCACTAGGTCACCTCATTATTACGTAGACCCTAAGGACCGAAGTCCATCTCCCCGTATCACTAATGATGAATGTGCCAATATTTGCTTTCTCTCTTTAATCGTATAAAGACTTGGTATTTTCTACTTTGCTAAAATACACACACATATACACACACACACAATAACTATATATAATAAAAGGAGAGGTACTGTGGTGAGTGCACAGGAGAATGAAGTGCCTAGCAGCCTGTGTCAGGGCAGAGGGTCACTAATTGAATGCAAGTCTTTTTTAAAATGTTGTTTATCCCCCTACAGGGCATACAAAACCATTGAGGATGATGACTTGAAGTTTCCTCTTATATATGGCGAAGGCAAGAAGGTAGGCACGCATGCTTCCCTGGATGAAGAGGAGGAGGCCGTGTCCCTTGTCGCTCTGCATAGCCCTTGGCTATGTGTGTTCTACTGACCATTCAGGATTTTACAGCCTTGACAGCATGATAGAATATCACACCCATCACCCTTCAGGTCACCTGTCTTAAGGGTCCAAAGAGGTTGGGGGCAAGGGAAGATGGGCTGTGAACACAAGGAGTGAAAGTCAATTCTGTGAAAATAACACCCCCTCCCCAGTCCATTTGAGTATCTTTTTATAGTGTTTAAACATTACCACTTTCATGTATGTCATCTCCTTTTATATCTAATAACAAAAGCAGGTAAGCCTGCAGTGCTACCTGCCTTTGGTAGAGGAAGCAGCAGGAACTATAAGGTTTCAGCTGCTCTCGCAGAAACCCACAGCCAGCATGGGGCAGCACCAGGAATAAGCTGTGGATTTCTGTCCTTTTCTGCTGTTCTCATGCTCTACCATGGAGGTTCAGACTGCTTTTCTACTTGACCCAGAGAAGGGACTCCTAAGCTTCACTGTAATTAAACTATAGGGTCACATCAACCCGAGCCCAAAGCTGAAGGAGCAAAGACCACAAAGAGCTCCCAGAAGCAAACACTGAGTAGCACATGGTTGAACCAAATTTTGGAAGCCTACAGATCTCTCCAAGGAAGACTTAGATCTCCAGGTCTGGAGGAGAGTGAAATCTTGGGGTGGAGATGACATTTCCATTTCCCGGTTGGAATAAATACTTTCTGAATCACTCATTGTTCCTCTGAACATTAATACATTTTAACTCTCAGCATTAATACAGTTCCAATTAGAAGAGAAAAAAATGGGGTCATACTAAGAATCTTCAACTAAAAATTTTTTTTCAGCATTCAGTAGTTTGTATCAAGAAGAAATGACTCACAAGAAAACCAAAGCATGCCTTCCTGGGCAGAATGTGTGTGGGTTGTGTGTGTCAGAGTGTTTGTATAAGAAAGTGGGCACAAAGGATTCAGTTTTGGCCTCAGTGTATTCCAGCACTGATTTTAATGGAAGGAGGAATCTTATGAATGGAAACAAAACACAAATATCTGACCCATGTCATTTGATAAACTACTGACCCATTCCACTACAACTCTGGTTGAGAGTCACGATGGGGACAATCTCCATTCCTGGTGGGAAGCTATGTGCTTTTCAGTCCAGTAGTTACCGTTAGCATGGGTTGTTCAGCACAGTGACCAACACCAGCAGCTGCACTTCTTCTTGGGGCTGAGATTCTCATATTATCTGCTTGATCCCATGAGTCTGAGCAAGGTCAGGACCACATCCTGTTATCTTTGTTTCCCTAGTACCTGCCTAGCCTGGTCCCTGACACATGGCACACTTTCAATAAATCTTAATTATTATGTAAGCTGTTCAGTTACTGTGCTCTCCTTGATCCACAGAAGAATGGGCTGTGTTCTTAGAATCTTATCAGCAGTGAGATATAAAGGATTAAGGGTTTTTCAGTTAAGTAAAAAGTTCAGTTCAGTTACATAAACATGTTCCTCAAACATTTCAGTTAATTAAGGCTTGGCAGTTGTGTGATGAGCAGCTAGCCATCACAAGCAGGTATTGCCATTGTACCTGTTGGCCTATATAAAAGCCACTATGTCACTGTTTGTTTTTATTGGTAGACTTGCCCTAGCCAAAGAGCACACCCTCCGAGTCTGGGGACTCCATGATTTCTTAGAATGCGGTCTAGGTCCTTACAAGGCTTTTGTTTTTTGTTTGTTTGTTTGTTTGTTTTCTTCTCTGCATTTTCCTACCAAGAGACTCAGTACTTTCTCAGCTGTTTTATTTCCAGAAATGCTTTTAAGGATTTGTATGGGTAACACCTGTATACTTTGTAAACAAGTTCAGTCACTAGCAGGAGCATCAGATTTCTTTGGACTTCACCACAGCATGTACTCTTTTTAGCCTGAGAAGCTGGTATTTTAGGGAGAGAGAAGAGAGGCCACAAGGAAACCAGAATCTTCACTTTTAGAGCTGAACACTTCTTTGCTGCAAGGGAGCCTGCCCAGCCTCCCAGCAGAGCAAATGGTTTCTACAACCTGCCAGATCAGAGGTCCCCCTGCGTCACCTCTCAGGTCTGCGTTTTGTTTCCTTTGATGCTGGCCCTTAGAAAAACATGTCATGGCCTTATTTCTACCCTAATATAAACTCTCCCTACCTTCTGATTGGAGGTCAGTTCCAAAATTCTCAGTCTTTTGGGAAAGTAGGATGAAAATGGAGATAATGTGTTGGATTATAAAAGCTTTTTAGCATTTATTTATTTCATCTTCGCCTCTATGAAATAGTTACTCTTACTAAGTAATAGAGGGAAGATTCTAGCTCAGGCTTTCGAATGATGACATTGCACACAATGTGTTATTGATGACTTCAGAGTTAAGCCATTGGGCTTCATTCCATCTCTCTGTGTCTACTTGCCTTGGTGTTATCTTTAGTGCTCAGCTTTGCACCACCTCCTCCAGGGGCCTTTTTGAGCATAATTTTTATTTCCTACAGGCTCACATAAGCCATTGTTCATGTGTCTTTAGCATCTAACCATATTTTATATGTTATTACTTAGATATGTAGTACCTCTTATCTCCCTTACCAACTTCCTCTCTTGTAAGGATGAGGCCTTAGACATTTGTGTCCCCCACCACATGGTATCTGCACATAGCAAGTGCTCTTGGGTAAATCAAACCTGTGGCATCCAAGGAAGTATTTAAATTGACTCTGTAGGTTTTAGTATATTGTTTTGCTTCCTTAAGCCATTCATAAAAACAGTTTATAAAAATCATAAAGTCTCAGCTTGGAGTTCTCTGAGTAGCTACAGGACTAGTGACATTTTGTTCCTTTCTACACAGAGGGAATCTGTAGGAATGCTAGAAGGATAGACCACAGAGTTGATAATGATGTATTTTTTTCCATCCATAAAGCTTAATAATTGAGTTTTGAGAAAATAGGCATTGCCTCTGGCTTTGTACATCTTTTGCTACTGCTTATCACAGGGTCATGGACATCACTGAGGTACAGGAAATATTTGTAAAGCAATTGTGTTATAGAAGGGTGAGTGGATGTGTGGATGCTGTTGGATTGGATATGAACTGATTTCAGCAACTGTAAGCATCACATATACACTGTTAGTTTACTGAGCACGCTCCCTTCCAGTCTGTACAAAAGAAAGCTGAGAAGAGATAGCAGCAACCCAACAAGCTTAGGATAACTGGAAGAAAAACCAAACACAAAAGTGATTTTTCGTGAGCCATTTCTTGATAACAACTTCCCACCTAAGTTGACAGCAAGGGACATGGAAAGATGGGCAGGAAGAATTGTGAAATTCTTTCATCACGCTCAGCCTATAGCAGCAGTAGTGTGGTGGGATGTTTTCACTATGTGTGTGTTTCTGATGACCCTCTGTTTACACTCCTAGGCTCGGGTAATGGCAACTATTGGAGTGACCAGGGGACTTGGGGACCATGACCTGAAGGTGCATGACTCCAACATCTACATAAAACCATTCCTGTCTTCAGCTCCAGAGGTACCACATGAGGTTTTTCCGTTTATATTTTGTACAGTAAAGTATTTTCTACATTATTCCTTCCCTGGCTCACATTGATGCCCATTTAGTAGCCACCTTGTGTCACATCTACTTCTGCATTGTCTCTCTTGTCACTCCATTCTCACTTTGACTATCCTAATTTATATCCTCATCACCTCCTGCCCAGAGAGTTGCATAGCCTCCTAGCGGCATTCCCTGCCTCCTTCAATCCAGCCTCCATATGGCTATCGGGTGACTTTTCTCAGAGAACTACCTGACTCCTCATTGCTCAGAAACCTTCAGTGGCACCATGTGGCTTGGAGAATAAAGCCAGATTCCTTTAATTGCTTTTCAAGGCTTGTTGTAATTTAGTCTAACTTTCTAATCTGATCTTTGTTCCTTGCACCAGCCAGATGAACATGTCTCTAGTACATGATCTTCAGTCTTCCACATTTGTTTAAAACTATTCCTTCTGCCAAGTCTACTCTTCTTCCCCATCTTTAAACACCCAAGTCTTTTTGAGATTTAATTCAGAGGCTTTTCCTATGGGAACGTCCCTGATTTTCCCCCTTGCCCAGCCAGAGTACTGTCTTTGCCTGCTCCTCGTACACACAGAGCAACATCTTCTCATGGCATTTTCACAGCCTGCCATATATGATCGTTACTCATGTATGCCTATTCCTGTTGGTACATTTTAATAACCTGGAGAGCCTGCATTATTTAGTTGTTGTTTGGAGAAGTTAAGTTGGAGAACATATTGGCCATATGTTTGGCTTTTTAAAAAATCACATTTCCTACAATATTAGAAACAATAGCAGGCTCTATGTTCACTTTCAGAAAGTGTCAATTAGAAAAGATTTTATGTTATAGAAAAATCTAATGGTAGTTTAGTTGGCCCAGTTCACCTTTTATACAGGCCCATAAATGACTTCCTAATGATTGCCCCTTCAAATTATGTGTCAACTCTAATACCGCTGTAGACATAGATAAGAGCTGGTATAGTTCCCTTAGAGTCTTGAGCTGTGGCTAGTATCCAAAATATATCTAGATATAGGAGCTAAGAGGCCACTGAAAGATAAGTCTCTAGTAAATATTGGGCATAGAAGATACACATTCCCTGATAACAGCCAGGATTTTAAATGAAGCCAGCCTGGTATAAATAATAACCATTCATCAAGAACCTACAGATGTTCTTTCTTTGAGCCCTCCCAGTAATTCTGCATGAACATGACTATTACTACATAGGGTGTTCAGGATTCCCCAGAAACTGATGGGTTCCTGGTACCTTGATTCAGGCCAACATCTGAATTACTGTGAAAACTGTTTCTCGCAAGAGAAAAGTAATAAATCTTTGAACTCCACTGAGTACAAGGCATAACTGGACCATAAACTTCTGTGTTTTCTTCCTTAGGGAAGAAGCCTTTATCAGACATATTAAACGGTACTTTCTGCTTTCCAGAAGCATCCCTAAGGATCTCCAGAAATGCTAATTAACCATTTTTCCCCTTAAAGCAGACAAACTTCCTTCTTTCCTCCCTTTCCCATTTATACATGCATACACTTTTTTTATATAGAGTGAGAAGTTCAGTGTTGCTGGGAAGAGAATGATACCTAAAGCAGTTAAGACTTTTGATCTTCTAATCTCTCTGCTACTGTTAATCCCAGGAAAAGGGATCTTTAAAAATCTACTTTTTTAGCAATTTTAAAATCTAAAATACATTATTATTAACTATTGTTACCATGTGGTGTCATAGATCTCTAAAATCAAGTCTGCCTGTTTAATTGAAGCTTTGGACCTTTTTAACATTTCCCTGTTTTCCATCTGACACTCTGGGGTTTTTCTACACAGTATCTCATTTAGTCTTCACAATAACTTTGTGAGGTAAGTGTAGTTGTTATACCCATTTTATAGATTGGAAAATTTGGACTCAGAGAAAGAAAATATCTTCCCCACGTTATACAGTTATTAAGTAGAAGGCTGGTATTTTACCTCGGTCTGTCTGTTTAGATCAAGGACTGCTGGAGAGAGGACTGAGTTCAGGGATATTTCTGCAGTCACAGACCTAGGGACCTACTAGGTGCTGATTCTAGGGCCTTTGTCATCATGAACCTTAGAGCAATTTTGGCATGGGACCTTACTGGCCAGATTTTCTTAGAAAAATACTGCTGGCCTTGGGCTGAAGTTGGGGGAAATGATGGCGTAATAGAAAGGGTAACTGGGAAAGACAGTAACGACCTTGTGTGTGTGCAAAGCTAGGCCAGACAGGGCTGGGCAAAATAAGATTGTGTACCTATAATTTAGCTTAATGGATGTGTAGTGTATACCCTAAGATTCTCTTGCGCAAGATTAAAATTGTTGTACATTTTAAATGCTTCCAGATGGAGAGGCCTTAGCCAGAGCCAGGAAAGAAGGGCAGGGTGCTGTTAGAAGGGGAGAGAGGAGCAGCTTGAATTGGCTCATATGGAGAAGAACCAAAGAAAGAAAGATTCAGGGAGGCTCCCCTCCCACACACACCAGTCCCAAACCTTCAAGCTATTGGCTTTGCCCTGTGGTACACATAATAAGGAGGTTTCTGTTGGGACCCCAGAAAGCCAGCTTCATTTATTTAAACCATACAATGAAGATGGACCCCTCCCTGTCTTCATCCTCACCTCCACCCTCACTTTCTGACTGTGACTTCCTAAGAACATTCCCCTGCTACACTTTGTCTTTGCCAAGCATGGATCTTTATTTCACATTTGGGTTCTAAATTTCAAACCCAGCTCAGTCTGGTAGCTTTAACGGTTAAGGGGGATGGGTGAGGAAATGTGATTTTAGTTCTAAGAAAAAGGACTCAAAAATCTTCTTGGAAATTAGCATTGTTCCCATTCATCATTGTAGCTCCTAACTTGATTTGATGAGTTAAATATAAATAAATCAAAAACATGTGGATCAAATTTATGTAAAAAACGCACAGGGGTTTAAAAATTAGAGAAGGCTTTCTAGCCAAACACATTTTTGGTTTTGCTGAACACAAGGCGCTGGAAAAATCTCGAGTTTGCCAAACCTGAAGAACAGCCGCCAGGTTTGCTGAGCCTCCATCAGACCTTCCAGGGTAGAAGGCAGGGATTTCTGGCCAAGACCTGGATTCCACAAGAGGCCCCTCCAAGGGAGCTCAGGCCTGTGAGCTGCAGCCTACGAGGGGCGTGTAGAAGACTTTTCACTCTCTGGTCCACAGCACCTTGCTTTGCCTCTTGCCTAGCAGAAGAAAATGTCTCTAGCCAGGCTGCAGTCTTCTTGTTTATGAAGCTAACTGTTAATCTTTTTAGTACTATCCTAAAAGAGCTCGAATGGAGGAGGAAAGGATTTGTTAACTCAGAGGAGCCCAGGACTTCCACATTCCCCACTTGCCTAGCAGTTCTCCTAGCTCCAGGCCAACACACACAATGTGTCATATTACGCAGGCAGCTTGGCACAGGCCTGTAGCCCAAACTTCCAGATGTTCTCTGCTGCACACCCCTTTTGGGCCCATGACAGGCCCTCTATAGAGCTGGGATGCTTCTTAATTTCACCCTTGTTTCAGCCTCCACTCCAAGACCATGTTGTTGCCTTTAGCCCCAGTTTGGGCTCTTGGAAGAACAAGGCCTTTTTCTTTTTGGGATCCAGTGTGCAGACCCAACTCCCCTACCCAGCAATACCTTCTTCTTGCCCTTGCCAGACAGAACCACAAGGAACTCAATTTTTTTCTCTGCTTCATTTTTCCTCTTCTCGGTTTTTAGGATTTTGGTCAGCTGTTTTTTATAATTCTGGGTCACTCATTTAGCTCATTCTTAGGAATTTTTTTTTATCTAAATAATATTTTTCTTCTATCTGAAACAAATGTCTCTGAAAGAACAAAGACTTCACACTCCAGTATCCAGACCCAGTGCCTGTGGTACCTGTGGCCTGCACAAGTGATTTCAGCAGCCTTTGCCGTTCTTTAAGGTGAGGGTAAAAGGCCTGTATTGACAAGTTATTCCGAAGAACAAATGAGGGCATCAGAGGCACTGCCTGGCATGAGGTCTGGTGCGTGGTCAGAGATGGTCAGTAAATGTTCTTCCTGACTTCCAGGAGGCTCCACACTTGGGGGTTCCCTGAGTTCACCATCATGTGAAGAGAGAATGACTACTTTTTTTGGTATTGCATGAAAACATGAATAATATTTAAGATCTTATATTTGCATTTTAACATTTATAGACTTCTAGTTCTTGGTTACTTTTTGTGGCTCCAAGTCAAAAATCTCATTTTGAGAAAGAGCATGTTTTATTGTATTTTGTGCTTTCAGTAGTCTGGCCAGTTCATAAAAAAACTATCAGACTATAACAACATGGGGAAATGTCTGCACTGTAGTAAGTGAAATAGAATGTGATTGTGTATACAGAGTATGAACATTGATTCAAAAATGTATATGCATAGCTGAACATCTTGACATTTTCTAGAAGAGTAGCAGTAATTATCTCTGGGCAATACAAGAGGAAAGACTTGTTTAAAAGATTCCCTAGCCCCCTCAAAATACCCTTAAGAAAGGCATTCCAATGCAGTGGTTAAAAACCCAGACTAGAAATCAGTCTTGGTATTAACTTTGTCTCTAAACTTAACTAGCTGAGTGGCCTTGAAAGAGTTGCTTCACATAAATCTCAGCTGCTTCTTCCGTAAAAAGGACAATAGGGTTCTCATACCAAGGAAGCCAATGAAAAATATTAAATGACATATATAAAGCATTTAGCACAAAACTTGACATAATAAATATTAGCTCCTAGCTTTCCTTCTTATGTCATTAAAACCACACAATTTCAGTGGCTCTTTGCAGAGGGATCATGAATCTGGTGGTGCTTGAGTAAAACACTGGGAAATATGGCCTGAAGGAATTGGTATTTGGGGCCAGTTGGAAGGTTAAACTAGCTAAAGAATACTTAGCCATCAACCCTGTTTCTTGCTTCCTGAGAAACAAAAGGAGTTTGGAAAAGGAAGATAGAACTGT